GACGCAAACTTTTTGCAAAACCCGCCACACTCTTCCCGAACGCCTCACCTCCTCCTCCTTGCGGCGACGCCGTAACGTCCAGAGGCGGAAGAGGAAAACCCAACTCTTGTAGTAGAGCACGATGTTCTGGATTGCAGTGGCGATCGCAGTTGACGGTATAGGCGCTCAGGGTGATGCGCCTCCCTTGCCATTGTTGGGGTTGATGTAGTCGGCGGGGATCAAACGGTACCGCCCTGTGGTAGACATTGTGAGTGCGACCAGGTAGCCAGCGGCCTTGAACCTTTTTCCACGTGACCTCATTGGAAGCACAGTTTTCATGGCACCACAACGCTCCTCCCACATAGTTGCCGAAGCCCATGAGGAAAGCCTTTTCACCCGGCTTGTTGTTGGTGTCGCAATGACACTGCATAGGCGTGTTGAAGTTGAGGGCAAGGGTGGTAAATGTAGTTCCCGGAGGGAGTTGTGCTTTCATGGCCATGACCAGATACTTGGTAAGGGCAGGACGCTGTCGAGCCAAGTTGGTAGCTCCCACCACTCCTCCATGGCGAAACATCCCAGCCACATGCGCTGAAACCTTCGAGCCTGAGTCAAAGGTCTTTCCTCGCCGATTGGTGACCATAGCCTCACCCAACCAAAGGCCACCCAGGAGCTCTTCCATGGCCTCTGGGGAAAAATCCTGGGCTTCCAGGAACACTTCAGCGCACTCCTCATCCTGGATGAGATGTTCCTCCTGCTGGGGATCTAACTTGCACAGCTCCTCGCACTTTGCAATGGCCATTGTGGTCTTGCCCTTGATCCGATGACGCTTCCCCGGCTGAGCACCCACCGTAGGTGCCGCATCCACCTCAAACTCTCCAGAGGTCTCCTTCACATTCTCCACGGCCACCATTGTAGTAAGGTAGCTCCCATCCTCCGTCTTCACCAAGAAACCGCGCGCCACATCCATGGATGGGCACAGAATCCGGGCCGGTGCCACCTTCTCCACAAACTCCTCCTTGAGCATCTGCCAGGATCTCTTCTTGACAAAGACCTTGGTTCCAAAAGGGGGCAGACGAGGATAGCGACCGCCCAACTGAGTGACCACAGACCACTGTACTCTAGCCGTGTAGTGCCTCATCGCGAAAGCCCAAGCCTCCGGTCCCATTTTTGACGAACTCAGCAGGGTTCTGACCGCACTTTTAGCTCTCCCAACCAGCGCTTCCACACGGCCATTGGAGCGGAAGTTGTCACCACCCGTCGTGGTGCGCACCAAGCCCCGATCTGCACATAGAGCTCGAAACGCCTTGTTGACAAACTCCCTTCCGCAGTCCGTGTGCACGCGCTTGACCACCAAACCCAGTCGACGAACTTGTAGAAGAATCTCTTTGGTGGCCGTCAACACTTCCGCCGCAGTTTTGGATCCCAGCGGCATAAAGAAGGGAACCTCCACCATAGTCACCTCCTCGATCTTCTCTTTAGCAACAAGAGCCTCCCACTTGGCTTCTTCCTTGTCACTGCGCCGCTTCTCCGCCGCCGACAAAGGCTCATCCGCATCTTCTTCGGGACCCACTTCATCACCCTCCAAAGGGTCATCCTCCTCCACAACTGGTCCCACTCCTCCTCCATCATCGTCCTCGCTGGGCTCCGCTGGCTGGAGAAGTTTGCCAAGCACATCCGGCACCGCCAACGTCGCAATCAAGCCATACTTGACCTTTTTTAGACGTTCGTCATCGCCTTGGCGGGCTGGACCAATCACATCCAACGACAAACACCAAGCGTCCGGTGCCACCACCCGTCGATGAATGTGACCGCGAAACGATCCGGCCAAACAAGCCCTGCAATCTCTCCGATAAGGAATGTGATCCCTTCGAAGGTGCTCCAGGAAGCTGGCGTCCATCTTCATCACGCGCTCCAAGGTAGCTCCCGCCAAACTCACCTCCACTTCGGACTTGATCACCTCCTTGAGTCGCGGCGCCCACGCCGCCCAGGTAGCAGAGCGAAACCCGCTCCCATCATGATCCTTTTCCTCCTCCGACACTGTAGAAGGACCACGTACACCACGAAGCTCCGAAGGACACGGAACGGTGGCCATTATCCTGGTCGGCTTCCTGCGAGGATGCCCGAGAGGACCTTGATCAAACTGCCACCAGTGCCACCCCAGGCTATTCTTCAAGAACTCAACCTCAGGAAAGGCCCACA